ATAGGATCTAAAATGAAGGGCTGAGTCTGGGGCTACAACTACAAACAATTGTTGCATGCTCAGAGTTGTGATATGGGATGCAGACAGCAGCTGATCCAGCGAGAGAATGGGAATAACTGCTGGCACTGCTCCTTAGCTTTGCTAGCGTTTTAAGTTGCTATGCCAGTGTAATGTAATTAGTGTGTGTTACTCAGCTCTTCAAGAATCAAAACTAAACTGCTAACGTACTGAGAAGGCATATGTTTGGATCGGTTTAACACTGTGTACAACATCTTACAGTTTTTATAGTCAAAAATCTCTGAAAAGCAAAAATGAATGCTTTTAAAGACTTACAGCTCTTTGATATTTTGTACTTTATTTTCTCTCATCCTAAACAGTTGACTGATCTTTAATATGGCATGAAATAACAGGATAAAGTCAGTGATCATTTACCTAGCCAACGGAATCCACAAGTGGCCTGAAAACACAGACATTGAACTGAAAATCTTAATGTTGCTAATCTTGACGGGCTGTGTATTATAAGCATAAAGCAGCAAAACCTGTAAAAGAGATGGGATAGATAAGCTATAATGCAGTATGGTATAGCAGACCTGACCTATTTCAGCGATTCTGTATGGTAGCGACTATCAAATACAGTGCACTGATGAAGACTTAGATAACTGCCTTTCAAAAAAGAGGCAAGTGTGGCCTCATATGAGTTTGACTATATTCCATTTTCATAGGTGTTAAAGAAATTTAATTGCAGACATAATTTATATAGGTTTGGAAATTAATTATACCCTATAGAGTCACCATCAAAATCCCAGCCTTGTCCTGATCCTGGTCAATCAATCCCACTTAAGCTCACATCTGACGTTCCACCTTCAGGTAAGCTGGAGAGCTATTACTGAGTTTCCAAAGGACCTATGTGATGAGTTAAATTTGCTCTATGGCCTTGTGCCTGGCTGTCATCATACTAGGTTTAAATCCATGAAGTGCACACTAGCTCAGCAATCTAATAAAGCTGTGTCAACATAAGAGCACAAGGAAATGAAATAGAACGTTCTCATCTTTCACTGAAATAATTTGCTATTAGGTGCTGCTTAGTGGTAGCTGGATATTTTGACTGTATGGAGAATGTGAAGATTAAAGTATGAATATATTAGTTCTTCTCAAGAGTTGTCTCTGGATTTCTAATGATCTGTAAGGTCATGCTAAAGTAACCTGCAAAACTATATTGAGAAGTATGTTATTTGACTAACTTCATAGGGCTTCTGTGAGCTTACTTATAGAGATGTAAAGGGCCTAGTAGAAATTTTTACACTGATTTGCTATGCCAAAACTTTTGGAGATCATGAATTTCTATTGCAGTGGCAGAGATTTTACTTACACGCTGTTCCCTTGTTTAAAAATAAAACAAATTCTGTGTCCTAGTCTCTTGCTTTACTGCAACCCTCCAATCTCCCTCATCTTTCATGTTCAGTCTGATGTCTTAGGGAAGTGAGGTTTACAAATTCCCATTTTCCCTGTGTACATGTATCTTTGATTTTCCAACAGCCTCCCACCAAAGAGTATTGTTTGAATGTATCTAACCAAACTGAAGAGAGTGGAGGTGTTAAAGACATCAAGGACCTGCAACATGAATACAACATGGCCAGGAAGCTCTATGTGGTCAACAAAGTATTGCTTTGGCCTGCCACCAAAAACCTGTCAGGGCATTCTGTCTGACCTGCACAGCAGGTTTGTGGCACACTAAATATATATAGCTGCCTCCTGTCCAGCTTGCCAATCAGCATATGTATAATTCAATTAAAAAGCTGGTTGGTCACAACACAAATATTCATTGGGAATGAGACTTAATTTGTTCCAACACCTGGGGAACTGCTTTGGTGTAGTTATACCTTAGTCTCTGTATCATTTGATGGCTTTGCCAGAGAAGGAAGGTACCACTGAATGTTAATTTCCTTATCTGGAGTATTTACTGCCCTAGTGTCCATCTGACTGTCTGCCTCTGCGATGACAGAAACCGGAGAGGCTGTTCTCACACGTGACATCTTTGATGTAATTCCAGTAATTTCAAGAGATATCTGAAACACAGAAGAAAATTTTAAATTGTATTTTTTTCTAGCGTAACATGCAAAATCTGTTAAAATCTAGTATCTATTAGAATCAGTATGCCTTTTACTCCTGCAGAAATATATGTTTATTAAGATAATTGGGTAATTTTAAAAGGTGTCCATTTTTCCAAGTTAAGGCTTTTCAAAGTTCACATGATGAGACATTTCTAAAAGTTAATGCAAAGGACCTCTGGGCTGACTTAGAGATCCCCACAGTAACAATGATTGTTACCTTTGACTTACCTTCCTTATGGCATTACAGTTTTTTTGCTAAAAGATATTATTTGACATGCTGACCATACAAAATTCAGTGCTGAAAAAGAAATCTTTTGGCTATGCCTATTGATAATTAAAAGAATCATTGAATGTTAGGCTAATGCTTTGTTTATGTTTACCCATTTGTTCTCTCATGAGCTGTACAACTAAAGAAGGGTGATGCCTACTGAAAATTCAGTCACTTAATTTGTGAGGATTTGTTATGTGTCATATTTACTAAAATACATATGGAACATCAGCAGGCTATTCATCAAATAGCTACTGTTCGGTGTCATTAACCAGGGAAGTAATGGAGGCATACTGTCAACCAATATTCATTCCTGAATAAAAGCTTTTTTTAAAATTGTAAAATATTTGATGTAAAGGCTGAACAGCACCATACCATTTCTACTTTTTAAAGTGTTATGCAGCTCTGCAAAGAATAGAGAAGGCCAAAACACGACATTCTGTGGGAGGGCTGAAGCTATTGGAAAGGTTGTTAGTGTCTCCATCATTGATTCCAAAACGTGGACACTGACAACAGCTGCCTGGGGAGTTAGTTCTTTTTTAATTTGGAACGCTTATTGCTGAAAAAATAATGGAGATTTTTACCCACTTTATTTTCAGAAAATACAGCTCATGACCAATACGAGACATTAAGTCCAGGTAAACGGAAGAAGGATTTTTCAAAGTGACATAATCTTACGCCATAAAGCCAGTTCCCATCCCGACTCAGAGTAGCAGTGAAGCTACAGAGGAAGTCATGTGTGCTGAAGTCAGGCATCTGAGCATACGGATGTGCCTGCAGTATGGCGTGGGACAATCCGCTGGGGGTGATCCATGCCACATAGGCTCTGAACACTGAGGCAGTGGCAACAGTGGCCATAACCCATGGTACGCCATGAGGTGTGCACGGAGCACCCACCTACTTCACACATCTTCTACACTCGGGATCTGCAGCTTGGCAGTGAAACACCCACTATCCTGCTAGCATGGAGTGTGATCAAAAGTAGGAAAACACACACATGGAGGTGGGAACAACCTAATTTATGCCATGTCCCTGAACTAGAGCTCTTAAAAGTCCATTTTATGATACATATTTCTTTCTAAAACACGTTGTATGTTTTCTTTTTCACTGATCTACATCCTTCGTTATTTACATTATATTG